CCGGTTCTCCAGACGTGGCCTCGACCTTCAGAGAAATTAGATTCACGTGGGGAACTGTTGAGGACTTCTGCAGCCACGGGCAGTCGGGGTCAGGGTGGGCCCCCTGCCCACAGCCCCTCCGTCCCTCTCGCCAGCTGTCCCCGGCTGCACCTGTCTGGGCCCGACCTGGGGGCCCCAGAAGCAACCTGGGCGTGCTGTGCTGGCCTGGCCCCTTCTCCCTCAGGGTGGGCCACGTGGCAGCCCCGGTGCTGAGCCTGGAGGAAGGCGGCCAAGACGGGGTCAGGCTGGGGCTTGCCCGTGAGAGAGGAACCAGGTGAAATCTGTTGCTGTGTCTCATGCTGTTCACGTGCATATTGGGGGTTGTTAATCTTAGAAGAAAGCCCTCTGTCCACCCCGTCCTGTTGGGACCGCCCTCCCCGATGGCTTCCCCGGTAGCACTTGTCCTGTAGAAGCTTCACTCTCCCGCTGTCACCCCAGCCCCGCCCCAGCGCCCTTTGGAGGGGCCATCGCTGCATCCCCCGTGCCTCCCGGCCAGACGCTGCACTGCACCATGGCGTTTTTTTATATTCAACTTTAGTATTTTTACTATTATGAGCCTTCCCCCTAAATTCTTCAATAAAAAAATTGCTTTTCAACTTTGTGGCTTGATTTGCTAGGTGAAGGGTGAAGGAGCGTGTGGCTGGCCTGCTCGTGGGGGAGCGCCCTGTCCTTCCTGCCTGGCCTGTGCTGGGGTCGGCCCGCCCCGCGGCCTCAGGGATGGCCTTTGAGGGAAGATGTCCCGCGACCCAGCTCCGGCCAGGCTCGCTGGAGGGGAGATACCCTGGCCATCCCTGTCCCCACCTGGCTTCACCCCACCCTCATGCCCCTGAGGAGGCCACCCAGACTGCACGGCCATCTACCCACCAGCTCTGTCCACCCGGCAGACTCTGACCACAGGAAGGAGCGGGACCCTGCAGGACCCAGAGCTGGTCAAGGTGGAGACTCACCACAGCCAGGCCCTGGGCCCCAAGGAGGCCCCAAAGAGCCACCTGCTGGGGGTGGCACAGCAAGCCTGGGACAGTGACCACATGGACAGTGGGACCCGCCCTGAGCCCGAGCAGCCCAGCGGGACATGCGACGGGCGCCACCTTGTGGGCGTGGAGAGGAGGCAGCTGCCCAACTCCAGCCCAGGTGCCCGCGGAGGGGTGGGCGGAGCCCCAGCTGCCGCATCTGTCCTGGGGAGCGGCCAAGGCTGTGACTACGACTACCGGACGTTCACAGGACCTGGCAGCCAGGCCTAGGGGAGGGGGGCAGGAGCTGCCTGCCTCTCCAGGCTCCTGGACTGATGGCCCTGACAAAAAGGCACTCCTTGTGGTGGGTGGCCACCCCTCTTCTGCTGGAGGGGGTGCCGGCAAGGAGCATGGGGTGGTGGGGGTCAGTCCGGCTGGGGGCAGTGTCCAGAGCAGCCCAGTTCTCCTCTGGGCAGTCCTTTACGAAACTGGTGGTTTCACTCAGTACGCAGTTTTTTTGGAAACCACAAACACACCAAATGTTACCTATTACGTGATGCTTTGGATCCAGGTTTCAGATACATAAACATACACGTCAAGTTGGAGCCCTGGGCACTGCTGGAGGGAATGGAGAACAGCAGGGAGGGTCCTTGAGAAACGAGTTTGCAGTGACCCCACAATTCCACTCTGGATACGCACCGTGAAGAGTCGCGAGCAGGCAGGTCTGGAGGAGGTAACCCTGCACCTCTAGCAGCACCCTTCACCGTAGCCTCAAAACGTGGATGCAGCCCACCTGCCCGTGGACCACGAAGGGGCTACCAAGACGTGGTCCAGCCACACACGACGCAATGTCATCCGGCCTTGGGGAAAGACGGAAATTCCGACACCCGCCCAACACGGATGGATGGGCCCTGCGGACATCACGCTGAGTGAAGAGGAAGCCACAAAGGGGCAGAAACTGCGACTCCACCTGCTCGAAGTCCCAGAGCCGTCAGATTCTTAGACAGAAAGTAGGGTGGTGGGAGCCGGGGCTGGGGGAGGGGAGTGGTGTTTAGCAGGGACAGAGCTTCTGTCTGGGAAGATGAGAAAGTTCTGGAGACAGATGGTGGTGATGGATGCACAACCATGTGAATGCACTTAACGCTACAGAAATGTGCACTTGAAAACGGTTCAGGGGCTTTTATGTCATGTGTGTTTTAACACAGTAAAAAAAAAAGGTATATTGTAGAAACCAGAAAACACAGCAGTGTATCTTCAAACTTGGAGCAAGTGGTACCCTGAAGTGGCAGGCGTGGTGTGGAAAACAGGGAGCTGAAGCTGGGGCGTCGGGGGGGTTCAGCTGGCCAGGTGGGGGGCATGAGCTGCTCCTTCCCGTGGGACGCCTTAGCTGATGGGGGGATGACTGGGGTGTGGGAGTGACTGGGTGATGGCCTTAGGGACCGTTCCTGTGGCCCAGGACAGGCTTCAAGGTCATGACCTGGACACAAGCACAATCTTGTGTGTCCCAGCCAGGTGGGTGTGGCCACGAGGAAAAGAGGGAAGGGGGACTCCCTGAGAACACCCTGACCTTCCAGGCAGAACAGTGGGGGTGCAAGGAGACCGGCACCTGGGGGAGAAAAGACCAGAGCAGACAGGGAGGGGCCTGGGCAGTGAGGACCAGCTGGGCTGCACGGAGGCTGTGGTGCCTTTCCGTGTCCCACCCTGCTCTTCTGGGCCCTGGGCTGGCCTCCAGAGGGACAGGAAGTCAGGAACAGAGGAGCCTTCAGCACATGGAGTGCCCGCATTTCGGCAGGTGTGCATAAATAAGGCGCTGAGCGCACCGCATGCTGCAGACGAGGCCCTGGGGGCTGTGGGCCGGTCAGCAGCTCTGGGTAAGGGGCCAGCAAGGTGGGGTGCGGCTGGGTGCTTTGTGCTGGGGTCAGGACGCCACCACCCAGGGGCTGCCTACTCACAGGCGGGTTCATCTCTCGGTAGCTACGTAGTCCACCTTTCACTTCTGATGCGTCTTTAGTCTGAAGGTGAACTCCTGCAGACAGCAGACACGGGGGCGTGCTCTGCGCTGCCGCCCAGGCTCTCCGACGGCCTCCGTCCCGGTGCCGCCAGTGGGGCAGCAGGTAGACGGGGCGGAGATGCAACAGCCCCCTGCTGTTCTGCGTGTCCCGCCGGCTTTGTGCCTTCTTTCTTCTCTGTCAGCCTCATTTTGGACTGAATGAGTATTTTTTAACGTCCCATTTTCTCCCTTTTATTGACTTAGTTCGGTTTCATCGGTTTTTCCACTGATGTTCCTTTTCTATTCCAGGATCCAATCCAGGGTTCCGTGTGGGATTTATTTATTTAAAAATTCTAAGAAGTTTTTTGTTTTATTTATTTTCTTAAACTGACGTACCGGGGATTGAGCCCAGGACCTCATGCATGCTAAGCACGTGCCCTACCAGGGAGCTGCACCCTGCCCTCCGTGCAGAACTTAGAATAAATCTCTGCTGAACGGATGACTGTGCTCTGGCCTGGCTGCTTTAGGGCTTCAGTGCCGGTCTTTTAGTCAGTCTACTGGCAGCTGAAACGACAGCGCTTCCCACATGAACCCCTAGGGCAGCGAGCGACACCTCCATCTCTGGTCTCAATGCCACTATCGTAACTTTTGTTTCCACATGTTCAAAACTCTCAAAGAACATTATTATTTTTGCTTTGAACAGTCAACTGTCTTTTTAACATTTAAAATATTTTAACTGGCAAAATCTGTCAAACTTACCCCTTCAACCACTTTTAAGTGACCAGTTCAGTAGCACTAAGTACATTTGTGTGGTTGTGCCACCGTCACCACCATCGGTCCCGAGACCTTTGCATCTTCACAAAGTGGACCTATTCCCATTAAACACAAACTCCTCCTGCCTCCCCCAGACCTGGCACCCCCTCCCCGGCCTCTATGAAAGTGGCTGCTCCAGGGACCTCACATGAACGGGACGACACAGAACTTGTCCTCCTGCGACTGTCTTATCTCACTCAGCATGACGCACACAAGGCCCAGCCATGCTGGAGAAGGTGGCAGGATTTCCTTCCTTTTTTAAGGCCGGGTAATACTCCATTGTGTGGATGGACGACGTTTTGCTTATCCACCCATCCCTCGGTGGACACTTGGTCTGTTTGAGCATTTTTACTACTGTGAATAATATTGCTGCGAATACAGTGCACAGGTGTCTGAATCCCTGCTGGGTATTCTCCCAGGAGTGGGGCTGCTGGGTCACAGGGTAGCTCTGCTTACCTTTCTGAGGAACTGCCATGCCGTTTTCCACAGCGGCTGCACCATTTCCCGTCCCCACCAGCAGCGCACACGGTTCCAGTGGCTCCACACCCTTGCCACCACTTGTTTTCTGTTGTTTTTAGCAAGTAGCCACCCCAATGGGTGTGAGGCGGCCCCTCCCTGTGACGCTGACCTGCGTCCCCTGGTGACGCTGAGCATCGACCTTGTCACGCGCTTACTGGGGCTGCAGTCTGCAGGGAACACTGGAAGGAGGCCCAGGCCCCTGCGGGAAGCCAGGTGACAGGAGGAGACCCCACGATGAGGACAGCTAACGGAGCGCTGTTGCCCGTGCCCAGAGCACAGATGGCCCGACAGCCAGGCCCTCATGCCAGCTGGGCTGGGGTGGCCTCTGGAAGTTCTCAGTTCAGGAAGACCCCAGGTACTCCCTTGCAACCCTCCCAAGACCCAGCTCCCCTGTGGCCTCCTCAGCCCCGCCCCCGCCTCAGTGGCTTCACACTCAGCCCGCAGCAGCAAATCCCACCCCCGCCCGGCTCCACCCACCACCCAGCTTCCTCTAGGAACCCAGGTCACCCGCCCTCCCACACAGGCCAGCGACCCCACTGCCCCCGGGATGCCATGCTGGCCCCGCCTGCTCCCCGCCTGCTCCCCGCCCCAAAGAACCTCTCCACTCATCCACGGTTCCTCAGGGAGGCTGGGGCCCTGCAGAGACCCTGGTGTGTGGGAACTGGGGCCCCAGCACCGGGTGAGGAGGCCTCGTGGCCTGCAACTCTGCCTTCACCCTCGGCTGTCCTCCAGGCCACCCCACCACCTCTCCCACCCACTCCCCTCCCTTCAGGCCACACAGACCGCCCCAAAGGGAGCCAGACCATCACCCCAGCCGGCCAGCATTCCTGGGGGCAGGTAACCCAGCACCTCAGCCACCCAGACAATGGTGTACGGTGGCATTTCAGGGACAGCCTGGGACGCGGCCCCACCCCAAGGTGCACTGGAGCCAGACGACCTGGGCCCGCACACGCTGCGCTTGTTTCCCCACCTGTGAACAGGGTGATGGGGCAGCTCCTTACCCAGAGCTCAGGGCGCTGCCTGAGCTGCCAGGTGACAGCGGGTGCGCAGGCCTGCCCCCTGCCACCTTGGGCTCCCTCCAGCGCCGGGCAGGCCACACGCCCTAGAGGCTGTTGACAAGTGAGTCCTCTCGTCCAAATATAAAGGGTTTATTCACTTCTGTCATCAGGAGCACAAAATACAAAATACAAAATAGAACCTCCCCCCGCCCACCCCACAGTTCCTCGGCATGGACACCACCAGGTCGTCCGGGCAGGGCTGGCGTCCACTCCCGCCCTCAGGTCTCGAACATGGCACAGCTGGCACAGAGCACTTCCTCATGAACGTCACTGCTGCTGCGACACGGCGGGGGCAGGGAGAGAGAGGAGCTGGCGTTAGGCAGGGTCGTGCTCCTAGAGCTACAGGGTGAGGTGCTGCCCCCAGGCCCTTGGCTGTATCAGGAGACAGGCCGTTCACTGCAGATGCAATCAGGATGAGGTCCCGGGCAGTGGGGATCCCAATCCCACATGGATGGTGTCCTTAGATAAAGACACACACGTGGAGGGAAGGCAGCCCGAGGACCTCGGGAGAAGGCCAAGTGTGCTAGCGCCCTGGGCCCAGAGCACCGCCTCCTTCAGCCCCTGGGGGGTCAGCCCCGCTCCTCGACAGCCAGGCTCCGTGTGGAATGTGTGTCTGTATTCAGGCCGCCCCCGCCGATGGACACAGCAGAGGAGCCCACCTGTGGCTCAGCCCAGGTCTCAAGTAGGCCCGAAGCCCCCACAGAAACCTTCCAAGTGGTCGGTGAGGGTTTACTGGCCTCTGATGGTTCCCATGGGAAGCACATCAAACAGGGTGAGGACGAGGCAATTCAGCGAATCACGGGGAAACTGACTCACCAGGAGAGACCCTGAAGGGACAGGAAACTGGCAACACGCTGCCTGTCTGACACACATCAGCAGCGGAGTTGGAGCCGCGTGCCCCCCGGTGTGTGGACCAGAAGCCCGGGCCGGCTCCCACCAGCACCGCCTGCCCGCGGCCATACTGAGAGCCAGAAGGATGACTGGGTGTGGGCTGAGGCGGCAGGGGGCGGGCAGGGGCTGTGGGTGCAGCAGGCCGAGGCCTGGCTTCCGGCGGGGGGGCTGCCACTGCAGCCTTGTGACCAAGGCAAGCCATCTGTTTATCAAAGGGGCAGAGCCCCTGCCCTGGCCGTGGCCCAGAGAAATGCGTGCGCGGTGAGAGCAGGCTGCCCAGGCACCTCCGCGTGAGCTCTGAGGGCATCTGGGGACGAGGACGTAGAAAGCAGAGGCGGGAGGAGACCAGCTAGGGACTCCCCGCGGACGGCAGTGGGTCGGGCTGAGGGATCTGGGCAGCTCCCCGCACCCCCAGGACCTGCCGGGCGCCCACCTCTCCCCACGGCCTGCCCTTCTGTGTGGTCAGTGGCCCTCCAGGGAAAAGGCACTGGCTGCTGGAAGGGCCCTGCGTTTTTCAGTTTACATATAAACAGGAGGAGAAGAAGAATTAAGTTGGCAAAGACAAAAGAAAGGATTCCACGTCCGTAAGTAGACCAAAAAGTAATCCCCAGACCAGAGTCCCACGCCCCCTGCTGCCAGCGCTGCCCGCCTCCCCGGCCAGGAGTGCCTCCTGGCAGATGTTAATTTTCCACAGCGGGTCTTAAGGACTGCTGGGACTAGGCCAGTTTGAGGTCTGCAGACCCTTTCCTACAGGGCACAGCCCAGTCCCACCGACAGCCAAGAGTGGTCCCTGGGACAGGCCAAGGGCTCCTGGGCAGGGACACGGGACCCCCCTGCCCGCGGCTGCACCCGCTCGAGTCTCCTGCCCTCCCCCGTCAGGTGTCCTCTGCTAAGGAGCACAGCACACAGAAGCACCACATGAGACTCCCTGACCCGAGGGCTTAACGGACCAGAGCAGGAATCACCCAGGACAGACCACAGCCCGGTACAGAGCTGGCGATCTGCAAGGCCTGGGTTTCCTCCAGAAACAACCCGACGACTTCAGAAGAAACTCAAGCAGGGCCAAGTATTTACTGCCATCACTGTGGCCACGGGCGACGCTGGACAGGCCTGCTCTCCCGCCCCCCTGTGGGGCCCACACTTACTCCACGAGGGCGCACAGGGCGCAGGCCACGGCGCCACAGCCACAGCAGGAGCGCACACAGCGCCCGCACAGGGCGCGCTCACACTGGCCGCAAGCCGCCCTCCCGTCTGCGACTCGCACACACGACGAGCAGGCTGCCCCGGCCAGGTCTGCGAGGAGGAAACACCTGTCAGCCCAAAGGGGACCTGAGTGCTGGGGGCCACTGCCTCCCCACACCTCACTGGGTCCTCTGGACACTGGGTGAGTCACACAGCACCCAGGCCCGCTTCAGCAGGAGACCCCAGGTGGTTTCTGCAACTCCATGCTGACTGCTCCTCCCATTTCTCCCGCCACCTAGATGCCGGTCCTGGAAGGACCAGGCTCCCCTGACTGTCTGCACCAGAGCCCTCCAGGCCCTCGTCCCCTGTGCCTCACATCTGCACCTCAAAGTCTGATCCCCGCACCCTGGGCCCCGCCCGGACCCGGAGTGGGAGAGCTTTTAACCAGGACATGGGCGACAGTTCGAGAAGCACGCCACACTGCACAGGGACCCAAACAGGCACTCCCCACAGACAGGGCCCTTTTGAGGAGCTGCAGGGGGAAAGCCGGCAGGACACACAGGGGGTCACACTGAGGGGTCTGCTCTTTCTGACCCAACAGTCAGAAGCCGGTCACCAACCCCCGGCATGAGTGTCAGTAGGGGCAGAGCCTCCTAACGTCAGCTCTTCTGGCGTCTGCCTGGTTCGGCAGACTGGGCAGAGCTCCTGCCTGGTCAAGGAGGAAGAGATCCATAGAATAAAGGGAAGCCTGCGTGCCGCCCCCCTCCTCTGCACACAGCCGGGAAGGGTACGCTGTCGGCCTCACTCACCGGCTTCAGAGGCCGGGGCTCGGCTCCTGGTCAGCCGGCCGTCGGGTCCGATCAGCATCTGCCCACGTGCAGCGCGAGGGGCTTCCATGGGGCCAGGCTTTGGGGACTCCGGCGTGTCGACGATGGCACAGACCTCCTCCCATGTGTGGTCCATGTAGGTCTGGGCCCCGCGGAAGAGGAGCTGTGTGGTTTTCTCTGGGGAAGACAGATGGTTCCTCCGTTTACAGATCCGCCACGTGGAAGCTCCTGCACTTCATCCTGCCAGCTGTGCTCAGTCCCCTCTCAGCCGTCATCCCGTCACCCCAACTGGCTGCTCCCTAGCGAGCTGGGTCCCACTCCCTCTGCCCTCCTGCTCTTCCTTGCCGGGACTCGGTGGCTACCCACTCCAGGAAGGTTCTGGACCCTGCAGCCCCACCTGAGCTCCCTCTCCTGTCACTCTGCTCATTTTCCATCTGTGTGGCCTCACCTCCTTGCTGCTGCTCTCCACCCCAGCACCCACAATCTGGCTTTGTTCAGCAGGCAAAGCCCCCGCGCTGTGGTGCACCAGTTCACAGCCAGAGACTCGGAGCTGAGCCTCACCCCTTCACCTACCGCAGAGCGGCCAGCAAAAGACATGGCAGCAACTGGCACCCGGCAAAGTACCCTATAACTTTCCAGACCTCTGTGGGCCCTGAACACCCCAACCCCAGAGCTGAGGTGGTTTCTCAGCACCCTGAATAGTGCCTTTCCATCAGGGCACTGGGGCTTCCACAAGGTCAATGCTGGGCGCCAGCCCCAGAAATTGTGGTTTTCTGCCTTGTCCCGACAGAACCAGGGTGGTGATGTTAGGAGCTGTTGGCGCTATGTGCAATTGACAGAAGCAACAGGTACCAGGGAACTGATGACAGCCTCACCTCCCCCAGCCCCTCCCCCACCCCCGTGGTAGGACAGGAATCGGGGGTCATGTGGTGAGGTTAACGCTTGTCTTTAAGGGCTTGCAGTTCTTTCAAGATAAAGAGGCCAGGGTTCTGGCTTAGAATTTGTTACAGGAGTTCACACTGGCCTCATTCCATCGGCCCTCCTTCCAGATGCCCAGCAGCCACCCCCTGAGGGGGTCCTGCAAGTGATAAGCCTTGGCAAGTGCTCTAGGACATCATGGTCAAGGAAGAAGGCCAAGGGCTGGACTGACTCCATCTTCATTTGTTACTAATTCTTCTCTCTGTCTGCACAGTGTTTACATTTTTTGAATCTCCTGGTGGGGGAGAGCATGTGCACTTTTGCCATAGTATCAATGAAATGTACCAACGAAGTGGCTTCACTCATTTTTATCACCTGCATGGTCTCGGAAAGCATCTGCATTTGCAACCGGAGTGTCCAAGAAAAGAAAGGGCTGAGCAGTGCTGATGGGGGCGGCTGGGGGCGGGGGGGGGGCGAGTGCAGGAACAGTAGGACGAAGAGAAGCAGGGTCTCCCCAGGCTGGGCTCTCCCCCAGGTCCCCAGTGCACGGCGGCACACTCCATTGCAAACACCCAGGTCACTGTCTAACCATTGCACGGGCACAAACCTTGTGCCCCAACCACTAGGTGAGATAAGCCCCACTCAGGGATATTAACCACCTCAAAATGACGACCTGTAATATCAGTGCACCTAGAATCTGCATGACAAAGCCAGATGAGAAGGCCCTGGCATCCAGCCACCCTGAGTCCTACTGCACTCTCCGGCTTTCTGGTTTTCACACAGGCTACTGCCTCCACCAGGAGTTCCCTTCCGCTCCCTCTCTGCCTGCCTAATGCTGTAGGATTCGGCTTAGACTGCTCCTCCCCGCGACCTGACACCGGCAAGTGGTCCTGCGGCGACCGGTGCCTGCTCTGCTGACCTCTGGAGACCCCTCCTCCTGCGAGTCCCCCACTGGACCGGAGGCAGGGTCTCCCGCGCAGCCGCAGGGCCGCGCAGGGAAGGCGCGCTCCACGAACGCCTCTCGGGTGACAACGGGCACTTCCGCGGCTTACTCCGCCCGGGACATCCCGCCCCCT